TATCCCCTGTGTGCCTTGTCGACTCAGTTATATATATATATATATAGGCACGTCCACGCAATCGACTTTCGCGCGATTAACTGCAAAATCGAAAATCCAGATCGTCGCGTCCAGCGACGCAAGAAAGCGTCCCTCAGGAACGGAATTCAGTGCAGCGAATCGCGGCGACGCGACGCGTGGCTTTTGAATTTTTAAGAATCAGGTCGCGGCACGGCACGTCAAGCGTATCGTCGTCAACGACGACATGGGGAAGACAGGGAGGCGGATCTATCGGGACGAGATTACCAATGTAAGAACACTCTTCTTTTCTCTCCCGTCAAGCTTTCCCCTCACGAGCGGCGCGGCGCGGCGGCGAACATGGCCATTAGCAGCCCCCGCGCGCTGCGTTTCGTATCGAGTACCTGTCGCTGCCTCTTGAGGATTCAATTTTCACGTTTCAGGCGAGAGCGCAACGGGTTTACCCGGTTCGGGTAAACGGCGGCGGGGAGATGTCCAAAAATTTTTCTTTTCACCCTTTTTCCTCCCTCTCCCCTCCCCCTCTCTCTTTCCCCAATTTTTTTCCGAGATAATTCGACGGTGTTCCATTTGCAACGCAATACGATTTTCCTGCCGCCGGACACGCGGTTAGTGCTGATGGAAAAGCTGACATGCGATTTGCAACAATATACGGTTTTAATCCGACAAAACGCCGTTTCGCACATCTGCGCGTCGTCGATCGGGGGATGAAATACACACGAGCTGCGTAAAGTTGGCACCCCTAAAAACGAATTTTGACAAAATCTATATGGCATTAGATTGTCCACTATTTGTCCATATTTGTCCAATAATAATAATTTTTTGTCCACTCTTGGAAAAAATTAAAAAAAGAAATTTTTTTTAACGTAAGCACCCCTAAGTGCGTTTTTTTATAAATTACATACGGGATTCGATTAGCCACAATTTGTCCATCAATAATCGTTTTTTGTCCACCTTGCTACAAAAAATTATAAACAAATAAAAAATTAGAGCAATCATTGTTTTCAAGAGTAGACAAAAAATTATTATTATTGGACAAATATGGACAAATAGTGGATAATCTAATGCCATATAGATTTGGTCAAAATTCGCACTTAGGGGTGCCAACTTCACGCAACTCCACCGATCAAAATTTATAAATTATTGGAATACAATAAAATGTACGCTATAAAAATGTCATTCGGTTTTATGGTTCACTCAATAGATTTTGATACAAGAAAACATTTTTTTTATTATAATACAGTCACATTATATATTTGTAATAATATAATCGGACAAAATTTTTCATTGAATTATACAATTCTTTCAATTTTTCATTATTTAGAACGAAGATATCCAAATATGGTTCGGAGATTTAATAATAGTAACGCATCAATGGAGGTTGCCACGAGTACTAATCGAGTTTTCACCCCGGTTAAGAATTGCGCACGCGAATCCACTCTATTTTCACTTGATCTCAGCGCTAAGAATAATATACTATATTATATAGGTTATTAAACAGAGAAAGAGAGAGAGATAGAGAGAGTCACGCTCCTAATCATTAATTGAAACTCTGTAGATGCTCCGAACTGTGTTTCACAGCGCACGAAAGTATCAAACGTACAATCAGATGCTAATATGAATTTTAATTTCAAAATATAATTAAAATATGATAAAAAATAGAAGTCTAAAAAAATATTTAAAAGATACTCTACTACATTCGTGTACCTTCTCTCAAAACTTACATTTTACTGTAATTAGTAGAAAGAAATATAATTTATCCACATAGAGATTCTATATGCAGATTACATTTCATCTATATGTATACATGTACTTTGTAAAGTATATATACACATACACTTGGAATATTTCCCTTTTTCTCGTGTAAAATATTAATACAAAACCGAGTTTACGTATGTCGTGTTTCCTCTCCTTTTTTCTTTTCTTTTTCTCGCGCGCTCTCTCCCTGACTGAAGAAATTTACTCGGGCGACCGAATATTCTCCTCGGATGTATAAACGGAGCACCGTACATAACGTGCGCCTCACAAGATGGTTAAACGAGTTGCCGCGTTTACGGCACGGCCCAGCACAGGCAGAGCGGAGCGGAGCAGAGCACGGCACAGCACGGCACGGCGCGACGCGCGGTACGTACAGGGCGGCGCGGCGCAGCGCGGCGCGACGCGACGCGACAACTCGTACACAGGGCGAGCAGAAGTGCATATCAATTTATGGAAATGAGAGAACACGCCTTGCCGCGTGGCCACGTCTCTCTCCGTAGCCCGACGACGACGACGACGACGATTTTGCGCGACAGCGCGCGTTGATGGCTATCCAATTTGGCATGCAAAGCCCGGATAGCGAGGCGCGCAAATTAGATTTCGGCGTAATTCGCGAAAACGTCGGCCAAGTCGGTTTTCCCGGGGCAGTGCGCGGTGGCGGTGAGAGACCGTCGAAATTTAGACGCGTGTACGAGTAGTGTGGAGGGTCCGCGTCCGTGCGCGGCCTGAATCGACTTAATGAAAGAAAGGGGCCGAGAGTAAATTGCACGGGACATCTCATCTCTCGGAAAAGCCGCTGAGCTAGTTTTCATCCGTGGATACTTCGATCCACTTAGGGTCGACCCTCTTATCTCGGTAAAAGTTTAACAAAATAACAACTTTTCTCTCACAGTATTTTTTTTTCTACATGTACGAAAGACGCGTGAATAATTTCGTCACGGAATCGAGCAAATTCAACAGGTTTTTGTCAGATCCGATTATTATGCGGCTTACGGTGGTGTCGTATACTCCGTCAATTTTCGTACTGCGATAAAACGTACATACACACGCGCGCGTGCACGGCATAGTGGATGGATTAAAGTTAAAAACACTCTGGAGAAAAGCGCAGCCCCGTGCGACGTACGTAATACCGGTGAATGCACGAAGCCGGTAAATAAGTGAGTCGAGCAGAATAGGGAATCCTTATACTTATGAGAGTGTCTTTTATTTCTAATTCTTTTCATTGTTAAACTTTTTTGAACTCGATCGAAGTGAGATCGCAAAAATAGTTCGTCGCTCCGCGTAAAGTGTCGAAAGCTTTAAATCTTTCCAATAAACTACGTACCTCCTTCGGAAATTATGTAAAGATCATTGATACGAGAATAACATTTCACACGCAACTTAATACTTGACGTCCCGTCGGAGGAAACCCGACGTAAATTAGTAGAACGTTAGCGAGCGGGGCGTTAGTAGAGCGAGCTGACGAGCGAGACGGTAAACGGGTTTTTAATTGAAAATGCAATTCGCGGTATTCGCCACCCCGTCGTCGCTATGTGTATACCCTGTCGACTCGGAATGAATTAGACCGGCGCGAACGAAGTGGGTCTTTCGAGCGTCTTGGCTGTCGACCGTGGAATTTACGATTCGTCTGTTGCACGTGGAAGCCAAGGAAGCCGGGAGAGAACGAACGGTAATTTTGCGGCAGCGGGACGCTTCCAAGGACGTACCCCGTGGCGACCGAGAGCAAGACTAAACAGGAAAATCAGATTCAACGACCGCTTCTCATGCGCCCATTATCATCATCCGGCGATTTCTTCGAGGAAAGCGCAAGGGGGATGTTCCACTTTTACGCCATTCATAAAATGGAAAAATTTCACGAGTCGCGAAAGAACGAATCTGAAAAGGCACAATGCATTTTATTGAACGTTATCAACTGAATTCTGTCATCTTTATAACGCTCCGCAATAGCTCCCCTCTAAAAATATTTCCGGCGAATATTTTAAACATATTTTCTCTAAATCGTCACGTTTGGAAAAAATGAAATAAAATAAAAAAAGATGGGTTAAAGGTCTGCGGTACGCGCGACGCGGTTTTGAAAATTTTTTCCTCTGCTCTTGAAATACTCGTAACAGCTGCAACGATAATATTACATAAAAGCGTAAAGGTCTTTTCCATTGTATATCCGCAAGGTATAACAATTTTTCTCTATTTAACTTATATTGCATTCTGTTCTTATATGATATCATTTTATTGTTCTTGTAAGTAATATTTTTCAATATTAAGGTAATATCTAATAATCTAATATTCGCCAATATTATTCTAAATTTTCATACATTTTCTTATTTATATTATTAATATCAATATCATTTTAGTACCAATTTTAGTACTAATAACATTTTAGTACTATTACGTTGTAAATTTAAATATTTTTAGTATATTTTAAATTTTTAGTATTTTACATACTGCGTCTCCCAAAATAATAAATAATTTCCAATTTATATGGCAATATATAATTTAAAAAAACTCGAAATGGATCTTCTAAATTTTCAAACACGCCTGCCTCTTTGTCACAGAATCTTCTCTTTCAACGTGCAAAATATATACATAACAAAATGAAGTTTTCGCGTACAAAGAACAGTCACTTTTGTACCGTGTAAAATTGTCCCGCGCGATTTCTCCGCAGAGGCGGCATGCTCCGCAGGGAGACTAACTTGTCTCGTCTCTATTTCCTGGCTCATCAAAGTTGTACGTATCGCGATTCAAGGTGCACACTCCTCGGACGGACGAACTCCGGAAATATAATCTCCGAATGCGACAGTGCGTTTCAGTTTCGTTTCCGCGAATGTCAGTTTGACTTCCAATTCCGGCGAAGTGCGCGAACATGGATACAATTTGGAGCTTAATTCAATGACGCAGTTTCGGAAGCTCCGAAAATTTCCAGTTCTCCTGCAGTCATTCGAGTTATTCCTTCTTTTCCACGGACAAATTTTAATGTGTCGACTACTAATGAGTTACTCAAGACTTTAATTCGTCATTGCATTGCACCTATACAGGATCATAGAAGATGCATGTGATTCTTCATAAAATAAAGAGGCATTTTTTTAAACACAATATAAAAGAAGAAATAAATTGATTCTTATAGTGTGTTCTTAGTGTACAATAATTTATAAATAATATGCTAAAGATTCATCTCTCCATCCGCTCATCTTACATTCAATATAGATATTCGATGTTTTAAAAGTTTCTCTCTTTAGTATGCAAGCTTGATTTTTAATAAGTACGTTTATGTAAACAGGGTACTTCGACTCTTTTAATTGCCAGGATAAATTTAATTCCATCTAAAGAATATCGTTCAAAGGAGGGGGATCCCTTAATTGCTCAGAGTAGCGTACGTATTAACGTGGTCGATCCGCAATAGGTACTCATGCATATAATGATAAGTACCATTACACGACGTGGCAGGTAAGCGAAGATACGCTTTGCGAGAATCGTAGCTCTATCGAACTTGGTAAAGTTATTTCGATGATACAATTCCAAGTTCTGCATCGAGCTTGCGAGAGCCGTCTACCGCACGGTAACGTGATTTGAAGTAGTGTAATCCCGAGCTGAGCATCTACGTGTGGAAACGAAATGCGACAGTAATTTACGTCTACACGTAGATTATACATGTAAAATGTGATTCGATGCATTATTCATATAAACGTCGCTTGCAATTGAAAGGTTTGCTTGTAACAGCGATCCAATTTATTTGTTAAAAACTTCCGGAAATTAATCTTAGAACGAGCGAATTAAACTTGGAATAAAATAAAAAGATATATATTTTTTAAAAATTAGTAAAAATTATTATGATTAAAATTCGACTGCCAAACTAATTTCAGCATTGAGCTTAAATCTAGTAAATTATTTTAATACTTTACTGTTTTTTTAATGCCTTATAATTTTATTGTTTCTTTAATGTCTTCAATACTTAGCAAAATTCTTCTTAATCAGGTGAATAAAACTGTCACCCATTAAATGGATGACGAGGCCTTGGCAGAAATTTACGCGTCACCTCACATGGCAGTCAAAGTGTTTGATATCAGTACATAAATCAAAAGTTAAATTCCAGAATTCTCTTGAAAATTAAACATACGTTAAATTTCCTCAGGCTTTGTACAGAGCCCAATGTTGCATTTATACTTTTAATTGTGAGTACTTTTACTTTTAATGCTCTCTTAAATTAAAATCTTTACTGCAAGGAATTAAACATGATTTGTAAAATAATATTGCATCTGCATTTCGAGATACAGACGGTTGTAATGACTCCTTCGCAGCTCCTCTGTCGGGGTGATATCTCAAAAAATAACAAAATTACACCCTTGACTAGCTGCAAAAATACAAGTAGCAGTAGCTTCACAGTTTTTCAAGTTCGTTTCAAGAAACGAAAAGCAAAGAGATTAAACGACGTTAAAAAAATTGAATTATCTCATAATAGAGCATTGGATATTGTATTATATAAATATTATTATATTGTTTTAGTCTCTGAGATACAAATGAAATTAAAAGACGAGTTGAACATCAGTGCGAGCAAAATACAAGCAAATAAATCCAAAAGTTTGCTTTTATACATATAGATCTGTCTTTCTCAGATTTTAGATTCTTAATTTATGGGTGCCAGAGACACGATGTTACAGTTACATCATTGAAAGTAAATAGCATCCCGTTATCTAACGAGAAGGGAAGTAAATTACAACGAGCCTTGCCTATTTTATCTCTACTGCAATTTCCCCGTTGCAACTGATAAGAGTGCATCGTTACTCACTTAGTAATGCGCTCATACGAAGTCTGCGCGGAGTCGATGAACTTGAAATTCTAAAGTTAAATTTATTCGTAAAAGTGACGCGACGTAAAATCGCGATTTCGCTCGAACGATCAGCCCACGTCGGCGAACTGATGGATCACAGCGCGGAGTAACGTTCTCTCATTGATATGAAGATTTTTATTGACAGGCACGGCCGATGCCGTGGAGGCGCGAGCGGTGAAGCGTCTCGGGAAAAAATCGCGGCGATCCAACGAACACGCGAACTCGCGGCACCCTCCGATACGCCGGCCTATTATCGACCGCGAGACCAAAAAAAAAAGCGAGAGATTCTCTCACCGGGCTGTCGGAATCGAGATAAAATTTAATCTGTTCGTCGTCGGAAGAAAAAAAAAAGAAGAGACGTTCGGTGGGAATGGATGAGACGCGCGAAAGAGTCGAGCGCGATCGGTTTAGCCTGCCGTCCCGGCGGTCCTCTCGCCTTCGCGGAGCATCGCTCTCGATGCCAAGCGCAATTAGCGTCAACGCGAACTGCTGTGAACTTTACGGGAACGGATCGAGAAGCGGTATATGAGGAGACACGCGACGCGCGAACACACGGTGCGACGCTCGTCGACGAACTGCGTGGCCGAGGTGGCCGCGCCGCGCCGCGCCGCGTTGCGCCGCGTATCGCGCAGCGCGGCGCACCACCCCCGCTGCTGTCTCTCGCGGCCGGCCCTCAAACCCCCGCTGTTGCTGCAATACGCACAGTGCGGACGGAGGACGCATTTTAGCAGAATTGCTTTTCCTTTTTTATAATTCATTTCGAATCGTTTCCATATATGGGATAACGAGAAGAGAGGTGCCACGTAAATAATAGAGTCACCAATACATTCGCGCGTTCGCAGATTTGTGCACCTTCGCGTATCAATTTCCCTCTTTTTTTCGAATATCGTTACCGTCCGCACTTACGCCACCATCACTGCTCTCATTATCATAATCGCTGTTATCACCGTGATTACCGTTATCATCCCCACCGATTGTTGCCGCAGTGCCGTAATATTTATTATCGTCTTCTTCCACTCATCCCCCTTTTCACTTCTTCACTTTACTTAAATATCTCAAGTTCCTCAAGTAGATGCCGTACCTCTTGAGAGAGATAACTTTCTTTTTCTCTCGTGAGAAAAGATTCAAGCACTTGATATTGCCAAGTTCGAACTTATAAGGGGAAGAGAAAAAAAGTTTTTAAACGCGTCCCGCGTATTATCTTTTTTCCTTCACGGAATTCCGGATTATACGGGAAAATTACGAGATCGTGGATCCAGATATTCATCGTTTAAAATGCAAAATGCGAAAAACATTTCTACGATCATGAATTCCATAAATTCAATAAAGATATTTTCATGCTTCATTTCATCGTAAAGAGATGTAACCGCGGCTGCTAATATGTATAAATGTTGTGGTCGACATGTAAATTATATAAACGATAATATAACACGTAAGTTATTTAAGTTCTATCATTTTTTAATATATTTATAAATATCGCTTGCGTCTCTCCTTCTCAGAAATAATTTAAAATAAAGTTAAATTAAATAGATATATCAACACGTTCTGCAGATGCTAAAAGTGCACTGATTTTTTTCATTTCACAGTTTTATCAGATAAAACGCGTTTGCGCATTGGAGCGAGTTCGCGACGAAAAAGGTGACGGCGAGATAATATGAAGGAATATAATTAAGCAAGAGGGAGAGTAAAGCTGCTTTAAAATGATATAATCTGAGCGAACATATCGAGAAATTTCCTCGAGGAGAACGCCCGACGGGCAGGTGTGTTCCGCGTTTTCGTGCGCACCGTTAATTGCATACCTTTGTTGTTCTCTATAATCGCGCGTACGACACGGATGTTTTTACTGTCGCGAAAGATGAGAGCGTAATATTCACGTGTGCGCGCCTCGCGCGCACACGCGTTTTGCCCGTAACAAGTGATGCGGATTAATTATCCAGTGTGATGCGATTTAGTTCTCTCTCTCTCTTTCTTTCTCTCTCAAAGCCGATATTCGACTAGTTGTGCGATGTCAACTTTCTATTGTATTCTGCGTTATTATACATCAATAATTAATATTATATATCATAAACACATAAATTAATAGTATACGGAATGATGAATAATTAATATTATATTGAAAATAATACATATTGCACAATGTGACAGTGTTCAACTGATGTGCACGCTTTAAATATCAATTTTTGATATCTGTCGCTGTTGTGAACATGAATTTTAGAACAAAGTACTGAAATGTATTTGAAACAGTATTTGTACCGGAACAATATCCATTTCATTAAAAACGAAAGAAATAGTAATAACAGTTGTAATACGTTCGAGAGATAAGGGCGAAAAATTCGTATTTATCGCTTTCCACGATTCGTGATAAGAGGCTTTCTTTCGCGGAATCCTTTTTGATTAATTGGAAAGTTGAATTAGGATTATTAGAAATGTCAACATTGCTTTATACTTAGAACTTTAAACTATAGGAACAATGCGCGCGCGGTTAAGATGCGGAATAATAGTACGAATAGCGCGAAATAAACCGGTTTATTCTCTTCTCTCTCTCTCTCTCTTTCTCTCTCTCTCCATGGCAAAATTTTAAACTGGTGCAATTCAGACATTGATCCGAAAAGAAGGTCGCGCGGGCTAAAAGCACGCTCGCGTTTGCCGCGGGAACCCGTTAATTATGCGCTTTTTACTTTCTCGCGGCAATTGGAGAGCTGCACCGCGGCGAGTCTCGCGGATGACGGAAAGTTCAGACAGAGAGTCGGGGATGGTAGCGGCGGGGACAGAGACCAAGAACTTCCGAGTTCTCTCCAATTACGTTGGTTCCGATCGGGGACGAACTTAGTAAACGCCGGAGTCCAAGTGTGAAAAATCGATGGTTACGAAACGTATAAAATCCGCATTAAATGCATGAATAATTTCGCTGCGTTTTCTAACATCGTAATAAATCAAAAAATAACGCAGAATGCATTTAAGCAAAATATTTATCACGAATTGCGGAAAAATATAAAGACAGAAGTAAATAAAATATTTAAACGCCGATAATTAGAAAGATAATGATTATTTAATAAAAAAAAGTGCAATTTTCAAGTAAGATCATTTTCTCTAGACTTTTTTCCTAATTTTTTTTCTATCACGAGTATTTACTTGAAATGCACGTTTCGTGCACTTATCGGAAATCTACCACTGCATTCGAATGCACTTATTCTATCCTCTTATCTGTTTCGACAATATTCTGTTAGTCTGCGAAAAATAAATATATCGCGAAATCAATCACAGTAATCCCTCTACTCACGGATTAATGTTTTATTGCACTGCTCCTTTTCTGGCTGCGGCTTAAAGAATATTTTAGCACGGAATCTAAACTCGCGAACTTACTCTTGTACAGTCATAAAAATACGATTCTGACAAACAGCATTTTTAGATCGTTTTTAAATATGCATGACACTCTGGATGTTTTTATTTTCTTAATTTAGATCTTCGTTCGAAATATTAAAGTAAAAGAAAAGAAGCAATAATATACACTATATATATTATTGATAATATATAACAAAGCGGATAATCGATGATATGCATTCTGTGATAGATAGAATTGAATTGAAAATAAAATAAGCATATAAAATGACAGTAGCTGATATCCTTTTCGTCGCTTTTATATTTAAAATTTTTATTAATATCTTTTTGTGCTGCACTGCGACGAAAATGCGGCAATATATACCGCTTATTTAGAATTAACAGCTCCATTATCCTGTAACAATAGTTACTATGAAAATTCTCGCTGTTGTTCTCCGTGGCTCTCTTAGAGTTTTCGTGCTTTGGAGGAATGTACGGTCAAGGTGCGGCCGATAAATCACAATTACGAGTTAAGCATCGGGCGCATATTAGAGCCAAACAATTTTCCTGAGAGAAAATCACAATTACGTATAAAGAGTGAACCCTGTCTCATCAACGTCGAGATGATTTACCGATCCAGTGTATCCCTTTTTCCGGCAGGGCAAGCCCCGTACAAAAAGGCGCACCCTCGCGCGCACGGCGGAGGATGTATGATCCTGTTTCAAATTTATAATCCGACATTCGCACGCGGTGCGCGCCTTTCCCCCCCTCGCGAGTAACGAGTGCGCTTTTTGCACCTACGTGAAACCGCAAGGATGTAGAATCGAAATATCGTTGCCGGATTACGTTCCGCCTGCGGTTCCCGTATTTCAACCGCAGACCGTTCTCGTTCTATCGGAAAACTCCCGCTTGCGACGAACACGCCGCCCGAAAATTGAAAATGTGCTACTTGATACCGAGAGACTTATGCGTATATCGAAAAAAAAATTAATTCATATCGCGGTGATTAAAACTTCCGCTTATATCCCCCCCGTCCAGGCAGATGTTTTATTTATGAGAGTATTAAGGTGTTAAAGTACGAGAGCGTGACAATCCATCGTGCATAGTAAATGCTTAAACCCGGACCCTGTTTACGTTTTTGTCTCGAATTAAGCTACAAAGCCGTTAGTAAAAAAATTATGACAGAGGAGATTATTATTTGCTTGTGCGTTGCCCGTGCGAAATGCACCGCGCAAAGTGTTTTATGACTCGCAGATACTGCTTTAATAGAAAACGTAATCTCATTTAAGAGAAACGAAGATAATGAAGTATGTTTAACTGTCTTATTACATAAAGCACTTTAAGAAAAAGTTAATTAAGACGTATTTAATTTAATAAATTAAGATACATTTTCGTCTCCTCTCGATAATATTGTAAGGAAAGGAGATGGCAATAAAACAAATTAGCCAAGATCTTTTGCGTACAATTATTCATGGAATTTCGTTACCGATTTGCCGATTCTGTTTCTCATAATTCGCAAACTCCATTAAAGATATTACTGTCGTCTCGATGCCCACATCGTGATAGACGAAGCCAATGAACGAGATTCTTTGCCGTCCCTGGTCTTACTTAATCGAAATTAGTGCGTAACAAGCCGGTCATTCAGTTCAGGATAGCTCGTTGTTCGCAGTAGGAGTGTCGACAACGAGCACTTTCCTGGCCTGGCTGTCTCCGTGATACAAAACAGGACCTATACCGACCATATGGGTCTGTGCGACTACTCGACTCGCAAGAGGGGGTTGGGTGAGTGAGTGAGGGCATTTATCTCGACTTGGGTCAAGCCCCTTCAAGCGGCTCCACAAAAATACACACGAATGTATAAATGTAGAATCGCGACATTCAGTTTATAGAAAATTGCCGGACATCAGCTCGGACGATCAATCTGACGTCCGAGACTTTTGAATAATTAGCCGTCTTAATTGCAAATTAATTTGCAATTAAAACAACAAGCTCGCACTTTGGTTGAACTTCAAAACAGAACTCCAACAGAATTTCCATTCAATTTTAACGTACTCCCGCGGTTTCCTTTTTAATAATGAAGAGACCGATGTCGCTAATACAATCACGCGAATAGCATTGCAGCGCTCGTTTATTAAATGATGGTAAGAGCCGGTGCGCGGAATACTATCACACAGGCATTCGCATTCGCATTCGTGCCGCAGTGAACCGCCGACTTATTATTCAGCATTTATCGAACAGGTTTGTGGTCGTCATAGAAACGTGACGACGACAACAATGAAACTTACGGCTCGAGCCTGAAGCATTTTCGATTTCGACCGCAAGCAGGGTATGCCGTCTCATTTTGGAGGAAAATTTGAGAGAAGGAACGGTGGGATTTTGGCATTGCACAACCGCGATGCACACCGGCGGCGGATATCGAGTGGCATTCACCGCGTGATAACGAACACGACATCAGCGCGCTGTCGCAATTGATGAAGGCACCATTGTTCATTGCGGCATTCGGTAAAGTATATACAGGGTGGTGTTTCGGGCGTGTACGCGAGCCACCTATATCATCCGAGAGCTCTTTGAATTTTAAAATAATTTAAGAAGTAAATCGGCGGAATCAGTAAAAATTAAATAATTATAGGTACTGTAAAAATTGCTGGAGAAACTCGATTTCAAATTACTTAGAAATGGTCAAAAGAAATGATGATCCTTTTGAAGCACTCTGTATATTCGATGCAATATGCGATACGCAGGTAGGAGACGTGTAATTTGAATAGTAGTGGATTGTTTTACAACCCAGTTAGCTTAACGACACCGTTACTTGCGAATTTTCAGCGCGTTATTACGAGGGGAAGCGGCGTTTCAGCCAAGTTCAATAACGACTGGGTTATAATCGATGCCGAAATTCAACCGAAGCGAAAGCGAGAACGCCTGCAATCGCTGAAGTTACATTAATTACTAAAGTTTCGATCATAAGCTGATCGTAAAGAACAATACATCGTGCAAGGATATTCGTTGTTATCATCGAATAGCGACAACTATAGGTGGAGATAATGTCCGTTGAAACGTTATGACATCCTATATATTTCGATACACATGCCATAAAAAGAAGATATAAAATTTTATATCAGCTAATTAAAATTTTATATCGAGAATTAATACGTTTTATCGTTACTTAATTGATTAATAAAGTAATCGCAATAAAAGCAATCATCAATCGAATAATCAACATTGAAATTAATTATTAATCGTAAAAAAAACGCATTCGCGATCATTAGTCAAGGATTAATTATATCAGGAAAATCGCATGGTAAAAGAATTACTGCCCTTCTATGGAACGAGAGTGTTCCAATAATATCCAAATTGCATTTTGATATAACTTGCGTATAACTTTTGGCGGAACACTTGACCTAGAAAAAAGTTAACCCAAGCTGATTAGTAACGACCCGCGCGAGCTCGCGGTTCTAAGCAAAATTCTGTTGTCTGTGAAATTATTGCCTGCAATTTTATTATCGGGAGATCTAATTAAACTGAATTCCCAACTTTTGCGCCTTGCGATCTCGCGTCTTCTCGCGACGCCGCGCAGCGCGTCGACCGATCGATATAGGTACATTGCCCGTGGCCCCGTTCATCATTACTCTATTATTTCATCATGAGCACATTAGCGTCAACCATTTTCCCGAAAGAGGAACGCAATTCCGAGTCCTTTTTTTTTTATGAACGGACACTTCTTAGATCGGCGAGAGAAACGAGTGAGATATATAAAAACTGTAAAAAGTAAAAAGTATTTCGGCGGACGGCAATATAATGAATTTGAAATTGGAATATGAAAACGTGTAACTGGAATCCATGGAATCCGTTTCGTCTAGAAAAAAGTGAGTGACTTTACCCGGAAAGACTCTGTCCGGTCGCGGACTGCGTGTCGAAACCGGAATAAATTTGAAACTTGGACAGATTGCCACTTCGCGAAGCGAAACGGAAATCTGATAGACACAAGCATTGCCACCGCATTGCGTATCCGCCTATGTAACGCGAGCTCTTCTGGCTTATAGCGGAATATCACAGACTCTGTGCCGCGTTCTTGCTACAATTCACTCTGCGCGGAGAGAGAGAGAGAGATTTAGTCGTGCAAATACACGCGCCCACGAACATTTATCAGTGCAGAGGAATCGAGGAGTCGATCGCGAATACTAACGATAGTATTCCGACGCGTTCGTGGTTCTAGCTCGTACCATAGAGATATCTACTTCTTGCTCTATATTCGCTTAAAAAAAAATCAAGTTACCGAATTATAATCACGTGGAGTGATATATTCACGAAGTCTAGACATTCTATTTTACCGTTTGTTTATCGCCCCTTTCTTCATTCACTTCCTTCTATTATTTTATTGATTCAATAAAATCATTTAAAAACGATGTGCTTTCACGTCAAAATTGGTATTTAAATATCGCAGTTCGACTGAAAATTTACGGCAATATTAAACGCGGGGTCCTTATTTTTTAAACGGCTTCCCTTTGACGCATTTTTTAATGAGCCTTATAATCGTGCCATGACCGAGAGTTCAATCAGCGATCGAGCAGCTACCGATAAGCGTGATGAAAACGAGGTCTAGTTAAAGTAAGATCGAATAAAAGTTGAAATGTCATGGTGTGGGAAGGGGATCATCGGAAACACCCGCAGTCAACGAAACTTCTCTTAAGAGCCGAGGAAAGTAGCATCGATTCACCGAAAGCTTTCGATGGATATGCTAACGAGCGAACGGAGAGGCAAAACTTCGACGAGTTCGGTTCTCACCGCGGGTCTTGAATCATCGAAAAAGAATGTTTGCGAAGGACGCAATTACTTCACGGAAATGTTTGCCGTGAAATAATTATTAAAATACCACATCAAAATGTATAATTTTAATATTATATGTATATTTCTTCTAACAATAATTCATTATTGTAATATTATACATATAATATTTTTCTACAACATATAACATACTTCAGAGACATCGAAAGATATTCATCAATTTAAATATCTAATAGATAATTTTTTAATCGTATTATTTTAAATTTTCAAATAAATTTATCGTTACAAAAATACTTAATATTATAAATTTGTATGACATAATTTTTTTTATATTGCATATTGATTTTATAAGATAGCGACGTCTGTGAGCCTAGCACTCCTACCATTAAAAAAAGTTTGAATATGTGCCATAAATAAGTATTAATTTATTACTAATTTATTGCCGTAATCTCAAATTTATTGCTTCTACCCGGAGCACAGGAAATATCGAAAGTGAAAATGTTGAATTCACGTTATACTAGCACCTCCACTTCCGAAAAATATGTATAGAGTAATGTAAACAAAAAAAAGGATACCAAAATTATTTACTAATTTTTTACTTTAAAATGCTGCAAAGAAATATAAAAAATTTTGAATAATTATGTGTACCAATATCGGTTACTATAACGGTATAAGAATAAAACGATAAAAAATAACTTGTATAAATTTTCCTAAACTGTTACTCGAATCAAATATTTGCGAAACATGTACTTTGGAATTTATTGCTCACAAAAAAATGTAAAAATTATCGAAAACACAGAAGGCTACAAAAGTAAAGTACAATATATTAAACGAATTATTTGCTGTGCTGATTTCGGTTTTAAACTAATACGACTAGAATTAATTGCTCTTAAAATAGCCCAGTTCCGAATTTTATTGTTCGCAGTTTAAGTGAAAATCCAAAAGTGTGGCGGTGCTAACGTCACGTACAAGAGGTACATGAGTATGATACATTAAACGAATTATTAAACGAATATCGTAGGATATTTTAAGAGCAATTAACTCTAGAATTATTTTAAAACCAAAATCAGCACAGCACACAATTCATTTAATGCTTTTTACTTTTTTTAAAATGATAGTGATGTTAGGTTCGCAGACATAAGATATGTTCGTTTGAAATTAATGTTCCTCAAACTTGATGTGGATTGCAATCAGCGATACCAAATATAATATGTCAACTAGATTAAAACAAATTCAGTTAAGATTTAAATATAGCAATATTTTTTCTTTCAAAAATACTCGCTCAATCGAACGAAATTCATCGTTATATTTTAGATAATATTAACGCACAGCATAAAATATACAATAATATCCTATTTATTGAAATTACTTTGAAATATGAAGGATGGAATATTTGGCGAACAGTTATTTCGTAAAGAAAAAAAAAGTTAAATTCACGGTAGCGAGACTCTTCGGCGTATGGCCTTGGTGTTTGTTTTGGTAGCGGCGTACGCAAGGCCGCCGCGCGCGTTTCAGTATTATCATTCCGAAGGTGAGACTCGAGCGGGCAGGTAGCGGCACGTGTCGCTCCGTGTGTCGCCGTATTACCCATCGAAATGTGATCGCACCACGGAACGAGAAGACGTCTAACGCGATTATTTCCTATGAGCAATTACCCTGTCTATCAGCGCGTGTAATTAACTCCCGTGGCAACTGCTAATTTATCGACTATTTTTAACGAAGCGAAATGTTTCGCGATTTATTTGTTTCACTGAAAGTAAGTATAAATTAATAATAATGAAAGTATTGATTTTAACATTGCAATATTTTATACGGGTAATAATTTCAATAACAATACTTAGGATTTAAATGTATCTCGCATCGAGCTTCGAGCTTTTTGCTAATTTAAATTTGTTCACTTGCAAATGGAGAGCGCGGATTAAATACGCGCGAGTCGCTGTATCGAATATATTTTAAGCAATGAAATGACCACAATGGCTCGTATCAAACATTTATTAATAACACGTGCATTTCATTACGTTTATATGTACGAAATGTATTGCGCATGTACAATACTGAATTTTAATTGTATCTTGTCGATTTGCGATTATATCAGTCGTTAAAACTCAACTTTATTAATCATTCGTTGCTTTAATTTGCGAGATTCGCGGATGTCGTGCAAATCTCACAAAGCTGAAGCTTTCTATCGTTTTCACGTTATTTTCCATTGCGTTTCTATTCCGTTAATGCTCGTTGTAATTAACGTCGGGAGTCTGCCGTGCAGAGTATCGCGTGCAGTATATTATCCTATTCGGATTAATACACGCGTATTTTCACAATCAGTATCTCAGATGTTCAATCAGCGCATACACAACATTCTCGGTTTTACCTCTAATCCAAATAATCATTGAACCGTGTGTCTCTCAAGATATGGAACCTTACTCTGAGTATCTCTCGTTCAACATACCTTTTTGAAACCGAGATTCGTGTAACGAATTATATAAATATAAGGCTAAAAATATGGAACTTTATCTAGAGTATCTCTCATTTAACATACCTTTTAATATCGAGATTCGTGTAACGACTATAATAAATACAAGACTGAAGATATAGAACTTTAGACTCTTTAGAGTATCTTTCATTCAACATACTTTTTGATATTCGGATTCGTGTAACGAATATAAATACAATGCGAACTTTCTTACTTCTAATCCTTTCTCTTATAAAAAAATATTTAAATATGATTGACAGAAAATTTTGAAAACAATTTTTTAATCTTTACTTAAAATTTTGCATTTTTAAAAGAATGTTAGCTCAGTTACATATAAAATCCGGATAAAGTTAAGTTTGTTTTTATGTGATGTCGTTAATGAGACATTGTCTCGTTTTACACTATATATTGGGTCTCTTTTTTTTGTTTACTCTATACATATTTTTCGGAAGTGGAGGTGCTAGCATAACGTGAATTCAACATTCTCACTTTCGATATTTCCTGTGCTCCGAGTAGAAGCATTAAATTTGAGATTACGGCAATAAATTAGTAATTAATACTTATTTATGGCACATATTCAAACTTTTTTTAATTGTAGGAGTGCTAGGCTCACAGTCGCTATCTTATAAAATCAATATGCAATATACAAAAAAATTATGTCATACAAATTTATAATATTAAGTATTTTTGTAACGATAAATTCATTTGAAAATTTAAAATAATACGATTAAAAAATTATTAGGTATTTAAATTGATGAATATCTTATGTCCTTAAAGTATGTTGTATGTTATAGAAGAATATTATATGTACAATATTACAATACTGAATTATTGTTAGAAGAAATATACGTATAATATTAAAATTATACATTTTGATGTGGTATTTTAATAATCGATTAATAAAGTATGAATACTCGGAAGTGAAATACGTATAACTTTACAAGAACGTTCTGTAAAGCATTAATGTTCTAAATCAGCTATTTTTTCACGTATAACACAACCTAGTACTGCAGTACTTCCTCAATATCGTTTAACGCTGCCGAGTGTTCTTGCTTTCTCTCTTCCACGCCTGCCTCTTCTTACGTCTAATTCTCTCCGCGTTTTGTCCCTGTTCTGGTTTCGGTCTAAGTTCCAGGCTTTGAGCAGGGTCAGGGTTGAACGTACATGCCTGG